TTCCACGCCAAATCGCACAAGTTTGAACCTCGACTTCTCAAATTTTTTTCATTTTTTGCCAACTTGTAACACTTGTTACCGGATTTCGAAATCGGAAGAGTTTACCTCAGAAAGTGCACTGGCGGCAAAGTTAGACTGTTCTAAAGTGCGAAAAAAAACGTAGTTCACCCTCGACATGGTCACCTTTAACAACTTCTATGTCTCGCAGTTTGCAACGGATTTTTCTCATTTTTACATTAGTTGAAAGGAAAGGTTGTCTCTTGCAGATTCAGAAGAATGACGACACACTAAAATTAGCAAATTTTATCTCAGATTAAAATAGAAACAAAAATTCACAATGCTTTTTCTTAAAAAGCGACATTTTAAATTTGTTTAAAAAACGTGTTTTTCAAAGAAATAATTCTTACACGACATGTAAAAATCATAAGGTGGTGTCTTCAAGGAATCAGGAGTTACGGTAAGATTAGTGACAGTAGACTGCAAAAAATTCTTAATTGAAGCAGCATTTTATCGCTTTCGCAAGTATCAGAGCCTCTGTTTCAACCAAAATTTTGTTTATATTTGTAGTATATATAATCCATGTAAACTTTTCAACTTTACTGCTCCCGTAACAGACATTTATTTAAAGTTCAAAATTTATGTACTTTCAAACAATTTTACAAAGTTTTTTTTTTTTTGAAAAAGTTGCTGTTATGAATATTTTTTTGATTTGTATCGCTTTGCTGGCTTATTGAACCCTTCTAATCCATATATATCACGTATATCACGCTCAGTACTTTTTTCGACTGCTGGTATTGTTTTGCTACTTTTCTTCTCAACGCTTTTTAGTATTATGCAATCAAATTTTCTATGTATTTGATTGGCGAATCTACGCTAAAACTTGATGCTGAAAGTGCTCGTTTCCCTTAATATTTTTGTGAAAGTAATGGGGAAGGGAAATGACTCATTTATGTATGTATATGTAGCCATATAGGCGTGACCATGCAACTTTTCTCGCTTACTGTTTTATAAATGTTTCTATATTTGCTGATTGGTAGAGTCTAGGTCAGTATACAGAAAGCCAACGAGTGGGCCTTTGAAAGCGAGTTCCCTGCTAAGTTAAACCCTTCAGAGTTACGAAATTTTCTAATTGTTGCTGGAGATGCCTGTATTTGGGAACTTGTAATTCAGCTAATTTTTGGTGTGATTTAGTGCCTTTTGGTTTATTAGATTTTTTTTTGATTTTTGTCTTCGGATGCAAATGAAATAATTTAATTATTTTGAAAAATCATGTGGCTACAGCAAAGGCAACAATTGAAATGAATGTTGAAAACATTTTTTTGATTTGTTAGGAGAACATTTTGTGTAAAATTTTTTGCTTTATAGCAAATCGAAAATTTTAGCTACGTTTTTTCAAGGTTGAGATTAACGAGCTAAAAAATTCTTGTGGGGCCGATGAAAAGCGATGTTTTTAGAGTGGTTTCTCTCATGTTACAGTGGTCTAAGCTGACTTCTGTCGCTTCTGAAATTCACAAAGAGCGGCTATCAAGGTCTTGTACGTTTTAATTGTTTTTAGATTTGTGAAAAAAACTGTTTCTCTAAAGTATTAACAGTTTATTATTTTCTAGAGTTATACGGAGTAGCCTTCGTACAACTTTTTTTCGCTTGTGGGTTCCGACAAATTTGTGCTTCTACTACGCATTTTGGAGTCACGAGGAAGTCTAGTAACTTGGTGTTCTAGCCATTTAACTGTTGGGTCCAGATTTTCCTAAAGTGGTCATGTTTTGGCTTGCTTACAGGATTGCAGCACGCGGCATTAAATTAAGGACGAGTCGAGCTTCTGTTTGCTTGTATAGCTAGGACTCTGACGAGTGGGATACGGGCTTAGAAGTCTTTTTAGTCTCCGGCCTTTCATGTACCGAAATGAAAATTCGTGTGGCTTGAGAGTATTTTGCATACGAAACGCACTGTTTCGTGAGGCATCTGTTCCATCAAACATTAGTGGTGCTTTTTTTGTTTTTGTAGGCTGAATGCACCTTATTGAGCGGCTTAGTTAAGTGGAACACGTCGGAAGCAGGGAACATTAGGACGAAAGCCGCTTGTTTTGACTCTGTAGAGTATTAAGTTGCTGGTATTAGTAGTAAAATGACTTTTAACAAGTCTTCGGCAATTAAAGTGTAACGAATTTTTTTTTGTCACTTTTTGTGGCTTTCAGAAGCAGCTGAAAAAGGTTTCGTTAATGTAAAATGCGTGAGATTACCACGGGGATGGTACATTACTTCCAGTCTCAAGTCTTCCAGTCTGTAACTCTTGGGCCGCGCATAATGACATTAGCGGTTTGCAATATTTTATGAAAGAGAAATTTTTACAGAGTACGTTTTGAAAAAATCTTAAGATACATTATTTCCAAACATATTTTTGAAATTTTTTTTCGTATCTACACAAGTTTTCGATAGAAGTAAGCGACGCAGTGTGCACCCGAAGTTAGAGGCATGAAAAGTTCAGGAACTAAAAAGCGCTAAAGTTTATTAACGTTGAGCTACATCACAAGTTTGCGAGATGCGCGTTTTAGGCACCAATCTGCCTGGCTTCGCAGCTTTGAGAGAGCGTAATTTGGCGCGAATTTCGTTTTCCAGGTTCTCTTTTTAATTTCATGTTTCTAAGGGTAGGAATTTTCGAAAAATTTGGGGCCGTAAGTGAAGGTGGTTTGCGGAATTACATAGAATGGCATGTATATATCCATATATTTATGTATGTATTTGTACATGTATCTGTATTTTATGTATGGACCATTCCATACCAAATGATGCACAATGGTCCATTTTCGTATTCTTTGAAATTTGTCTTTGCCAGCTAGCTCAGCGACAGGAATCTGATCAATAATTATTTGCTGTTTGGTAGTTTGGAAGGAAATCTAAAATGTTTTTTGTTTTTAAAGTAATTCGGCTTAGTTTTTGCGATTTAACTTCGTGCTGTTTGTAGTACCCCGCTTACCCTCATGGACAGCCCACCCAACAGTTGCCCGCAACTTCTATGCCCCAATCCATGGATTCTTCAGACGCTGCTACACCGCCAATGCATCAGGGCGCTACAGGTCCTTTATAAATACTATTCTGTTACTCTGCCACTTTTGTTCGCATGTATGTCGTTTTTGAAAAATAAGTGTCAAGTCAGCGAAGTTTGGCACTTGCTGATGGGAATTTGGCAGTAATGAAATACTCTATATTTTTTTCACTGTATATGTGGAATTTGGTTTATCTGTCTTTTTTGAAGAAAAAGAACTCTTTGTCGTAAGCACTTGAGTTATTCGTGTATTTCATTATCATTATAACTGCAGTTTTTGTCCTTGCAGATTTTTTGGAACACTTTGTGTTAGCTGTAGTTTTTTATTTGGGATCTCTTTAGTGGCATTGTTTGATTGGAATATCGGATTTTCAGTAATTTTTTGTTTTGAAAAATTTATCGCTCACAAGCAGATCGTTTAGTGGATTTTGGAAGTTGTTCAATGGTGTTTCAATTTTAGATACTGCTAATAATATGTAATTCCACTGTCTTTGTCTGTTATTTTGTCTGGTTTCAGCTAGTGCATTGCTAACATTAATGGTTCTTCGACTAGCTTTATAGCTGTCGTACACTAAGTTATGAATTGGAGTGTGATGAATGAAATCTCCTACAATGATTATAGATCTCTCACTTGTAACGGTCACGTTTAGTTTTCTTCCTTAGATGGTGGTGATTTGGAATATCTTTCAAGTTTAGCCAGCCTATGCTGTTACATTCCATGGCTGTCCGTTACTGATCGTTTTTTTGGAATCTAAAGTACGAGATTCCAAAAATTTTTCCTCACGATTAACAACAGCTTACCTGATTTCAAGCAAGCCTCTGTTTATCGTGTTTAGTTGTAGTGTTTCATACGTTGTGTCATTTTGTTACTCTACGAATTGTTGGGTCCTGGAAAGGGAGCGATGGATGTTGTCT